TTTAAATCTAGAAACAATTTCAGTAAAAATGTGATATTATCTGATAGGAGGTACTTCCAATTACGTATATATATATATATATACCTCCTATCAGATAATATCACATTTTTACTGAAATTGTTTCTAGATTTAAAACAAAAAATGTTTTCGTAGAACGTACGAAAATAAAGTTCAAAGAAAATAGATACCAAAAGCAACATACCTATTGGAATTTATGTAACATACCTCATATATAATAATATTTGATAATAAATAGTTCATTAATGCGTTTAATGGTTGAATAATATTCATTTATTCAAAATATAATGTTATAAAAGGGAAATATAATTAAATAAATACATATCTCTTTCCATATTTTTTATTTTTTCATATATCTTACATATGTTATATTTTTAAACTAAATAAAATTAAACTTTAAAATAAACAAATATCACGTCACAATGGGAGGTTATTAATTAAGTTATATTAGTCACAGAGTATCGCACCTATCGCATACTGTGGGTATGTCACTTTAAGACACATTCTCATAAAATTTTTCAAGTTATACAGTAAAAAAGTGATGAAGATAAAAATATTCAAAAAATATTTTTACAAAAGCCAAATGCATATAGAAGAACTTAATATTGAACAAAATGATAATTATCGCTATTTAATTTACGTAATTCGTCAATAAAAATCATAAAAATAAAACTTACGAATTTCTAAAACTCGATATTTGTTAATTTAGCATATAAAGGAAAGAAATATACCAAATATGATTTTTTTATGACTTAACTGATAAAACGGATTATGTTTATATTAGTTTTCCAATAAAATATAACATTTAATATATGAGATATAGATGTATATGAGCTTTAGGAAACCTATGTCGCTTTTAGCTACTTTCCTCTATTTTTCGACTTTAAAATGACATTGAAAAACTCTATCAAGGTCAACTCTAATTTTTTAAACGGAATCTTTAAACATAAACGGTCTTTAAATATAAAATATGATATAAATAAATTCCTTTAGTCATTCTGCGTATAAAAACATTGAAATAAAATCATCGAAAAATGAATAGTTCCTTAGATATTTCACATTGTATCCTATTACTTTTTAATATAAACTATGAAATATTTTGTAAACTATTTATTTTTCGACCACTCTATCCGAATATCTGTTGTACGTAGAATGATGAGAAAAATCTATCAATGATACAAATGATACAAATGACGAATCTTTACATACTGATATATCAATGAATCTACAAAATGCACGAAACTTTTTTTAAAGTTTTTGCATGCTTTTTTTGTAATAATCGATTTTATTCATCATTCTGCGTACAAAAGTATTATGATGAAGTTGTCGAAAAGTATACACTTTAGGAGATAGTTCATATTTTATACTAAAAAGTATCGAGACAAAACGTAGAATATCTTGACTTAACTTTTATTAGAAATACTTTTTATATCTTTCTTACTTCTAAGATATTAGTTTCATCAATTAAAATAGAACATGCGTATGCGTATGTGTGTGTGTGTTTGTATACACACACACATATAAAATACATGTTTCAATATAAAAATGTATATTAATAATATATATTAATTTTTCAAAATATGCAATTCGTCTAATCTCTCGCAAAAATAATTGCATGAAATTAAATTTAATTTTACGACGAAAGACTACCTGAGCCAACGAGGAACGTACACGTGAGAAGAACAGCCAGAGAATATTTCAAAACGCCACTCAACATTTTGGTTATCTCGACAGAGACCGGCGAGGTGTTGCTTTACCGGTTGCCTCTTGTACACTATGACACCGGTTATCGATTCATTGCCAAGAAGATCCTGAACGAGAACTTATATATGTAAGAATACCCCCAGCAGAGTGAAAGGAATCCAAACGCGCCGCGGGCAATCTGCGAAGGCAGCATCTCCTCAGTCGCGTGCGAGCCAGGTATACGTTGTCGAACGGCAATGAATAATTATTATTTCGCGCTATTACTAGTAGCAAACGTACTGCTATGTGATATAATAGAAACAACACAACTGATTTATAAAATGGTCCGCTACAGCGAAGATGACTGCGTCACCATTCCTCAGGAGTTTCCTCACGAGAAACATCAATGCTCGTCACGTTTAAGCATCCTGAATAACATGCCGCGAGTGAATATGATAAATCAATGTTTCTTGCATATTTTTGAACACGTGAAATTCATCGCTGTTCCTCTTGATTGCTCTTTATCTATTATTATGAATAATAATCTGTGTAATAATAAAAGTCATAGTATCGTAATACTATCAATTATAATGTTATATTCGTATACGTATAAATTGCAATTATAATTTTCAAACCAATAATTCAATAATTTTCAGGTGCAAGTAATACCATTAAAAAATATACGTGTACTATAATCTTTTCAGTTTGTTAACTAACTTCAACTGTCCATTCTTCAAATCAGATAATGACTATTATAAGTTGGTTTTTCTTTTACAATTCATTTTTTTATTTCAATAATGGCAATTAATTTCTATTTGTTAAATTATTCTTCTCTTTAATAGTATATTGAAAAGATCACATTTCATTTATTTGAATAAGTTATATGTATATCGTCTTATGGAAACGTATCTGTCTTATCTCACGATCAAAACGGCATGGATTGTAGTAAATATTTTGACAACAGTAGACTAGTTTTTCAGCGAATCATTTACATCGAAATATGTCGGGATTCTTTTCGCATTGTGTATGCCCATTGTGTGAACTTCGGTAAGATGAATATCGTAGAATTATACGATCATTATGCGTATGTGTCAGAGAACAACGCGAAACTACGATTCATTGTGTAATAATACCAGTGATCGTGTGCGTATTTTTAGAATGCACGTACGTATTGTAATATCGTCTCTCCTCTCTTCTAAATACCAATATCCTGGATGTAAAATACGATGATAATTGGGAAAACACAGAATACAAAATTATACGACCACAAATCTTACCACTGACTAGTATAGAAACTTGCCAAGATATTATCAGAACAATGGAATCAATTTTCTAATTATTACATGCAACATCCGTGTTGACAGATTAATCACATGACCCAGACAGCACACATTTACAAAATATTTTGGAAATATATAAATATATATACATACATACATACATATATATATATATATATATATATATATATATATATATATATATATTAAATATTTTATAAATATTCTAAAGTCCGAGATTTTCAGGTATGAAAAAAATTATGATAATACTTAAAAATATTTTTGAAAAATATTTATCATAAATCTTTCATAAATCATAATCTTTTTCATAAAAATATTTATGAAAAATGTTTCTCATAAATATTTTTATCCATTTATTAAAATCTTTTTTATATCTGAAAATCTTGAACATTTGAATATTTATAAAATATTTAATGTCTATATTTCTAAAATACTTTGTAAATATTATGTGCTGTCTGGATGATCAACGAAATCTACAATAGCAAATACAAAATTATTTTCAATGAACGTATAATAATTTATCTGTTAAGTAATGAAAAGGCCGATACATAATCCATTACATCAAGTTCAACTATTTAATAAAATTTAATTTATGTTACAAAGTTATATGTATAAATTTTATGTTTTTTTAAAGTGTGTTTATTTCATCTTCCCGCTAACTTTATTATACTGAGAGAAAACTGTTTGTAACTATAATCATGTAGAGAAATAATTACTATAAATTATGATCAAGACATCCATTTTTTAGTCAACTATACTATAATTTTAGTGATAATAACCTTATATGCATGTTATTACTATTTGGTCCCAACTATATTTTTTGGTTGTTTCAACATTAAGATAATAGTAGTAACATGCATATAAGGTTGTTATCACTAAAATTATAGTGCAATTTACTAAAAAATGGTTGACTTGACCATAATTTATAGTAATTATTTCTCTATATGATTATAGTTACAAATACCAAACATTTTTCTCTCAGTGTATGACCTGACATGAATATACGTTATATTTTTTTTATTTTAAAAAGTAAATTTATTAAATTTATAAATGAATTTATAAATTGCATTTATAAATAAAGGACCCTGCACAAAACCTATGGAAAATGGTTTTTGGTCAAATTGGCTGAAATTTCATGATATTCATTTCTAGTTTTCATGATCTTCATTTATAGTTTTCGCCATGCTGATAAAAAGTTATCATTGCACCAAGTCCCAAAATTCAATATTTCCCAAGATATAAAGAGTCAAAGTAGTAAAATATGGTCATCCGCAGTAGTAAGACATATGTTATAAGTATAAGTAAGTGATACATTGATATTTATTCACGAAATAAATAAAAATCGATTTTTATATATGTATATATATATATGTGTGTGTGTGTGTGTGTAATAAATATTTAGTTCCGCAATATATATGTATATGTATATACAGGGTGGGGCAAAAGTATCGGACCGGTAAAATATCTCGAAAAATATAAGTTTTACAAAAAACTGTTTCAGATCTTAAAAAGATCTATTGTATTTACTGATTTTAGCAAATTGATCTTGGGTGGCGTTGCCAAGGTCAAAAATAAGTTGTTTTCAGTAGGAACTCATTGATGGTTTGACACACAACCCTCGGTTTTGCCTTAGCTGGCTGGTTCGCATGTACAATATTTATTTATTACATATATATATATGTAAAAGTCGATTTTTATTTATTTCGTGAATAAATATCAATGTATCACTTATATTTATAACATACGTCTTACTACTGCGGATGACCATATTTCACTACTTTGACCCTTTATATCTTGGGAAATATTGACTTTTAGGACTTGGTGCAATGATAACTTTTTATCAGCATGGTGAAAACTATAACATAGTGAAATTTCAGTCAATTTGACCGAAAACCATTTTCCATAGGTTTTGTGCTGGGTCCTTTATATTTTGCATAAATAAACAAATATATAACAAATAAGTTTCTAAATCATCTGGTAAATAAACATATTTTATATATATCTAGTCGGGAGGGTCCCGATTGCCCACAATACGATTGACCACAAATTGTAATGATTGGTTCGATCTGGTAATTCAATAGATAATTCTTAACATCGGTTGGTTTGTATGCAATCGTACTGTACGCAATCGGGACGTTCCCGTTGTGGCCGATGCTTTTATTAATTTATAATATAAAAATTTCAGAAAATTTGGATAAAAAAATTATAGTTCTGTTATACTAATAATAAGATAACTAGAGAAAATTTTACAGTTTAAAGTATATATTTTCATGTAAGTATTGTGACGAATATTTATTTTAATTTATTTATTTCTTACAGTACTCTGTGCAAACGTAAGTCAAGATCCATCTAATCCCAAAATTCTTCATCAAATTTGTCAAGATAGATTGCAAAAATCAAAAATTATACAGAAATAACACTTACACCAGTTTAACTTTTAAACTGTAACGTTAAAAAAAATTACACTAATGATTGGTCTCATAGATCGCTATTACGTTTCCACTAATTTTTGAAGTTCTTTATAATAAAAGATGTATGTTTTCAATTATTCCGAATACTTGTAGATGGGAAGAAATGTTTTAATGTGAGGGTGATAAAAAACTCAGAGAGCACAATGTCCAAAACTGGGACGTAAGATGTCTCTAAACCATCTTTAAGACAACTTAAAGACATCTTATGTCCAGATGTCTTGAAGTCGATTTAAAGACGTCCCAGTTTTGGACATGTATGTTATCTAGGAATCTCATATATAAATGATATAAAATATATTTAAATTGTGACAAATGTGTTTTATAAATTATGAACTTAAATTTGAAACTAAACAGAATATTTTTTTTTATAATGATTAACAAACAAAATTAAACGAACAAAAACAAAAAATAGTATAAAACTATATTTTTTAAGAACTGTCTGAACTTTCAGATCTATTTGTTGGCGTACCAGTTAAGCAGTGCACGCACACCTTCCGGGAGCAAAAACAAACCGATGTCTCGCACTTTGCATATTTGTACACCGTTTTTCGTTTTAATTTGTAATAACGAAAGCCATTGGCTTAAATACGAATAGTCCTGAACATGAAAAAATATTTACACGCATTTTGAGAAAACGCATCTTGAGTTTTCGCTCTTTTTTGCAATTTTTCACTAGCATTCAAGTATGTCTATAAAAATCACATTTATCTACATATTTTTATTTACATATGTATTTACATATTTTACCTCCTAGTAGTAGCTATAATACTGATATACTATTTTAAGAGTAGAAAAATTTATATAGTATATCTTGATGATGACATATATTACATCTAAAAAAAATAAAATAAAATAGTAAACACCTAAATAATAAATACCTAAAAAAAATAGTAGCTATAATACTGATATACTATTTTAAGGGTAGAAACATTTTTATAGTATATCTTAATGATATATATTACACCTAAAAAAAAATAATTTTAATAGAAGTGGAATTCTCTAAATCTTAGAGGATTTTACTCTTATATATATGGCCTCAAGAGGATTCCTTTGAAATCACAAGAGGAAAATAATCTTAAACACGATTCTTAAAAATAGAAGAATTTCATATTGAATGTTCAGTGCTAATCTATTTGTTCTTAATTTAAATTTTTTCTTATATATTACTTCAACTCAAAAATATTTCTTCGGATTTAATAAATTTTATCGCCTCCACATGAAAGAAAGATCAGAATACTTTGACCGAGGTGCTTTTTATGTGTATCTGTAGATGTCCACTTTTAATGTTATATGAGCTGAAAAACATCAGAGACTCGGCTGGGATCGAACTCAGGTCTTCTTCCGCTTGTCAGGCAACCGCTCTTCCCACTGAGCTATTTAAGACTTCATATTTGTGACATCTATATACCCAGTG